TCTTTCCTTTCTTGTATTTTGCTTTGTCATCTCCTTTCTCCTTAGCTGGTTGACTCTTCAGATTGGGGCAATCGGCTCGAAGGTGACCTGGCTTCCTGCACTCAAAGCAAATTGTATCAGATGAAACCTTATTGGACCTTGAGCTCTTACCTTTATTCCAGCTGTTCTGATGGCGCTTTTGTTTTCTCTTCAGGAAATTTTTGAACTGTCGGGTCATCAGTGCTATTTCATCGTCTTCCTCCCCTGCAGAGCTTTCACTTTCTGAGTTGCTAGCTTTTAATGCCACCGTCCGCTCCTTTTTCTTTTCACCTGCATCACTTTGCCTTTGGCTCACTCCTTGCTCGTATGCAATGAGTGACCCAAGTAGGTTATCAATAGAATAAACATTAAGATCTTTGGACTCAGTGATAGCAGTTATCTTAGCATCATAGAAACTAGGTAGGCATCTAAGAATTTTATTCACTTTCTCAGAATTTGAAATTTCTCTACCTAATACATGCAAGGATTTCACGATTTGGGTGAACCTAGTGTACATGTCAGAAATTGTTTCGCTAGGTTTCATACGGAATAATTCATAATCATGCAGTAGAATGTTAAGCCTAGACTGTTTTACTTATTTTGTTCCTTCGTATGTAATGCACAGTCTATCCCAAATCTCCTTTCCAAAAACACAGGTAGATACTCTCATATAGTCCTCAGATTTCAATGCACAAAAAAAGCAGTTTAAGCACTTAGCATTCAGTTGGGCTAACTCCCTATCCTCATTTCTCCATTCATTAAAAGGTACACGAGTTTTCAAACCATTAACAGTTTTAAACGGTGCAACATATCCATAATTTACTAACATCCACATGCGGTAATCTATAGATTGCAAAAATATAGACATTCTAATTTTCCAGAAATCAAACGGAATGTTATCAAAAAGTGGTGGACGAGTTATTGAATAACCCTCCACAATGTTACGATTACCAAAGTTCGACATGATCATTTTTTTCAAGGTTTTCTAAAACACTATTTTTGAAAAACAAGCTCTGATACCAATTAAAATTAATAAATGACAAGAGGGGGGTGAATTGTAAAAATCTTTTTCTCAATAAAAAGTAACCCTAAACAGGAGTTCTAATCTTTTTGTTATTTTTGAAATTTGACAACAAAAAGTTAAACAAATTTTCTTTCAAAATTTCACCACGCAATAATTATGAAAAATTAAGTGAATGTAAAAGTAAATGAAGATAACGAAAAAATACACCAAGATTTTTATAGTGGTTCGGTCAAAATATGACCTATGTCCACTCCCCGGAGTCCTCCGCTCTATGATTTTCACTAGTAATTATAGTTCTCCTTTTGCCCCCCTTGGCAAGGCGGAGAAGCCTTTACAAACCTCCCTTTCACCAACCCGGCGTGGCGGAGTGCCAAACTCTATTTTAACCCTCCTGGTGACGGCAGAGAACCTTCTCCTTTTTCTCCTTCCTGGAGAAGGCAGAGTACCTTGAGGTCATGGATGTAGATGAGCCTTTCCCTTGGAGGTCCTCCCTCAAATTCTTTTAGGGCCACAGGTGGAGCAAGATGCAGCAAGTTCGGAGCAACCGTGTGATCTCCCTCACATCTCTTCTCCCTCACAACGCTCACCTTCTCCTTCCTCTCTCAAACCCTAAAGAACTTCTCTAGAGCTCTCTCCCTTGGAATCCCTCTCTAACCACGTTCTCCCTCTCTGTCTCTTACTTAAAAAAAACGAGATTAATACCTAAAACAGGCTCCAAAATCCCTCTGATTTCAAAAGTAGCCGTTACTATTTGTACAGTACGATTCCACATCGTACCGTACGATCTTCATAAACAGACTTTGCCCTGGTACGAAGATGTACGAATAGTTAAAAAAAGATTCATATTGTACGATATAATATCATACGGTACGATCAACAAAATACTATTCATACAAGACGATGGTCTGGACGATCAGATGTCATCTCTGTTCATCGTATGATACAATTACTATCGTACAGTACAATGAGACAAAAACTAAGAGATCATCCAGGATGATATCTGGGATGATCACACTTCATCTCTGTTCATCGTATGGTACGATCATGTTCGTACAGTATGATGTTCAAAATATAATTAGGCTGGATTTCATGCACAAATCACAGGTTAATTTAAATAAGTATTTAAAATAAATCGTCTAGTATGAAATTGTTCGTATAGTACGAAAGGCACAAAATCACTTACTTAAACAAAACCACAGCTAGGGTTTTGGATCTGAACATATCGTACAGTATGAATAGATTTATACAGTACGATCTAGTCACAGAATCGTCCACATAGCTTGGATCGTACGGTACTAATTAAAATCGTACAGTATGATCTCCAGAGAAGAAATTCTATTACATTTTATATTTAAAAATAAGCTCTCCCCCTCTGTGTGTGCATGGTTGCTCATACTCTTATGCATTTTGTGGCCAGACTCAAGAAAATAAATATACAATAAATAGAAAAATACAACATCTGACTCATACTCCTAATCTACATGTTCTTGAGTCTTTCTTTCATCCTGAGTCACTTGGAATCTTCCTGAAATGTTAGTACTCAAAGACAATAGAAAATAAAATAATATCCAATGAAAAGTTGTTTCAAAACAATCATTATTTGGCATCATCAAAATCTCAAACTCGGGGTCATGGGTTGCAACAGTGAGTATACAAATTCTCCTCCCCTCTATTTTCCATTTGGTTGATGCTTAAGGGGCTGTTTGGTTGCCTGAATTAGGAGGGTAAAGTAAAACAAATACAAGTATTTACTAAATTAGGGTGTTTGGTTAATTTTGAGCGGAACAAACGAAACCCATCGGATGCATTAGGCGTGTAATAAGGAGGCTATTCGCTTGCGATGGCGTCATCGTCGTCGTTGCTGTTCGGCTTCATTGCTTCGCAGGAGGTGTAAGATTGCACGAGAGGCTTCTTCGGTGCCTTCGTTCTTGTTAGACTTCGCTCCTTCGAAGCGACGACGTTCCCTTTGCCTGTCCGATCGGAAGTTGCGACGACGACGGGAGCTCGCAAGTTTGCATCATCTTCGTTGTTGTTTAGCTTCATTTCTTCGCAGCAGGTGTAAGATTGCACTTCGCTCCTTCTACGGCTCCTTCGTTCTCCTTCGACTTCACTGCTTTGACGACTCCGCTCCTTAATGCTTGTCGACGGTGAGAGTGTAGGAAGGAAACAGTTTGTTCATTTCTCGGATGAAGAGGCTCTGCCGGAGGCTTCCCACGAACTTTACCCATCTCATCTTCTCTTTCTTGGGATTGATTGCGATAGGTCTTCGTCTGGACCATTTGCTACACTTCTCTCCTCTCCCCTGTGCCAGCTCTGGGCAAGATGGGAGCTCGAAACCCTCTTACTTGGAGAAAGCAGAGGCAGTGAAGATAACAATAGAGCAGCAAGGAGAAGAGTTTTCGAAGCAACCTGAGGGGATGGGTTACTGGCCATGCTTGCAATTTAGCAGGGAGTACCGGCGTGCGAGCGAGGATATTCGCCGTGACAATCGCCGGAAGTTTCTTATGGTGGTGGTTTCCGGCGGTCTGAACCAGCAGAGGAACCAGATTGTCGATGCCGTTGTCATTGCGCGCATTCTCGGAGTTTCCTTGGTCGTTCCTATTCTTCAGGTAACGTTATCTGGGGAGATAAAAGGTAACCGAATGTCGATTAATGTCCCTTCTCCACAGATGAAACTCTTGATTTTTAAATTTGTTTCAGTTAATTGATTTCTTGATAACATCTTCATGAACTGCTGTAGGAAGGGGACTTCGGAGGAGGAGGGAAACAGAGGGTCTGTGTTGGAAGAAGAGGGACATTGTTATCTGAAAGTGGAAATAGAGCAGTTGAGAGGGGTAGGAGAAGATGATGTTTTTAAATTTTAATATAACTTTATCAATTTATTTTGCATTTTATATAAAATTTTTATTTTATTTCATTGTTTTGTCTCTTTGGCTAATTGGCTATGCTAATCTCGTGTTCTCATTTTATGCTAGACTAAGGACAGATTTTGATAGATTTTTTTTTGTGATTTTGTGATTACGACTAAAAAAAATGATTTTGTGATTATTGTTTTGATTATGCTCGGTTTCCTTCCGAGTTCACCGCTGGAGCGTGGCCGGTGATGCCTATTGGATGCTCCCTGCAAAGATTAATGATCTTGAACTCAGAGCTCTCCTTCTTTGCTTGAATTTTATTAAATTTCAGAACTTTAAGGTTGTTACCTATTATGCTTTTACTTTACTCTAGATATATCTAACCAAACAAGGGAAATATTTCTCCTGCGTTTACTTTGCAGACAACCAAACAGCCTCAATGCATTTGTAATGCACTACATTTGCTTTACATTGCATTTACTTTACACTAAGTTTACTTTGCAGGCAACCAAACAACCCCTAAATAAATTATAATATCAAGGAATGCATTCCTTATATGGAATATCTAGAACAAGTAGACTAAAAACAATATGTAGATCCCATAAAATAACTATTATCTCATTGGGTCCAACCCAAAAGTATTTGTATCACTGTTCTACTATTTAATAACACTCTAAAGCCACAATAAATATAAATGACTATAATTAAAAAGTGAGATATAAATGACTTCATACACTCTAGCTTAGCTCTCTATCTATTAGTGTCTTCTGAGCATGTAATAAGTCCATCTAATGTAACCATTGAAAACTTAAATTGCAGAACCAAACATTAGAGCATTCTATTATACTTTGACCTTATGATGTATAGATGATAGCTAAGTAATCTAATAGCACCTGTATGCTAAGCCAAGTCAACTACTAGCTATAAATATATTGATCACCACTACACATCCCCTCATCAATGTGATCCAAAGAAGTACCATCACTATGCCGTAGTCAGAGAGGGACGACCTGTCTGCAAGATCATGTCCATTTGGAAAATCAAAATCAAATGGAAATATTTGAGTAGAATGATAAAATACGCTGTCAAAAATGTCTTTGTAAGTCAACATCTCTCTATACCAAAACAACTGATTTGTAATCAAAACTGTCTGAGAAACATCATAATCATCAATCTCCCTCCAAATAGCCTTTTTTGGAGGCTCAATTCATTATTTGAATGCGTTCTATGCCAATCAGACATTATAACCTGAAATAAAAAGGAAGAGAAATGAAATCTTATATTCAATAATTGCAAAGAATTCAACCTATGAAAGTCACACAATGAATTTGTTAGGATGCAATTTTTTGACTGAAATAAATTTGATAAAATAGAGAAGGAGAAAAATAATAATGGAATAAAAAAATGCATGTTTCTAATATAGTCCCACAATAACCAGTTGATCATCAAACGATGCATCTTTTTGTTGCTATAACTCTATTTTAGAAAATCAAGATAATAATTACATCATAAAATGGAATAAAAAAGAACTAACACTTACACTTATTTTGATTGAAAAATATATATTTTTGAAAATGTAATAATTTTCTTTGGGAATATTAAATTTTGAAATTTGAAATTGAACACGTCATTATGAATAATATATCGCCTCGAAAGAAGAACATATCGTTCTCTAATGGGTTCAAATTTCAGAATTCTAATTTTATCTGGATTATCGTAGTCAAACTCAAAGGGAGAATCACATTTGACCCCAGAGGATCAAAATGGAATTTAATCAATTATTTGACTATTCTAATTTGGATAAAAGATCATTAATTTAATAATCAAAACCACGATAACAATTGATATATCTCTTCGAAGAAAGAAGATATCAATCATTATCGATCGATTGAAAATGACGATAATGATCGTTGCTTTTGAATTTCCCAAAAAGAATTAATTAAAGTTTTGAAAAATTAATTTTAAAAATCAATTCTGGGTTTCTAAACTACCAACGAGCGCAAGCCCTCGTAGTTAATTAGTAGGAAACAAAAATTTCCTAAGAATACTCTTGATTAAAATAGCGGTGTAAATTTTATTTAAGATTTCAAAGTTAGATATCAAAGAAAGAAAATGGTAGAAATTTCAAGTGGGATTGGTTCAAGTTTGAGCAGTTATTTTCAGAGCCAAAGGAAGAGGAGTAGGGAGTGTTTTTGAGACTCTGAAACAATTCAGAAAACACTCCAGCCTATTCTAAGTGTTGGGCTCGAATTAGATTGAAAATGATTTAAATTTAAGTGATCAATTTTATTAGAAAATTGGGATTCAATTCCCAGAGGTTGAGGTCTTATGGCCCGAGCCAGCCTCAGAACCTAAGTCTAAATTGGGCACTGAAAATGTGACCCGAACCTAGCTGATGCAGTGCAAGTCTGGTCTTACCCCGGCCTGGATTGGGGAGCCAGCTAAACCAACTAAATGATTTTTAAAAAAATGAGTCTGGTCAATTTATGTAGAGTGGTAGGGATGTTGTTTAAGAAAAGTTTTTTAAGAGAGCGGGGCCGACATCTAGAGCGGATCCTATTTGGCCCCTTTGACTTATGTTGGGTTTGATGCTTAAGCTAATGTAATTAAAGATTTTTTAATTAGTTGCTAATATGATACATGCTAATCGACTCGATTAAAAGCATGGATTTGAATGAATGTTATGAAATGAGAACTTCCGGCGGTCCCGGGCTTATTTCTTAAAATGTTAGAGTTTCTATGTTGTCTCAAAAATTTTATTTTAATTAAAGTAGAAGAATTTTTACAAGTCCTTAAGAGCCTAAATCCGAATTCCAGGTCAAATCAAATACGACATGCAAATAAAAAGATTAGAAGAGTAGGTATTTATAATGCGCAATCAATTTAAATAAATCAATCAGATTAAATATATCAAATTGAATGTCCGTAGGTAAGTACCCCTTATTATTACATCACATAATTTTGTAGAAAATTAAAGTGGCCGGGCACCACTAACTACAACCCGGATTTCTAGTCCTAAGAATCAAGTGACTTTGAGAATGGTTCTTCTCATTATCCACTTCTTCGTCCTTCTGCTGCTTCTTGGATCGTCGGGTCCGGATATCCAAATGAAAAGAAACTCCCCCTTGAACGGGGTGTTATCTTTTCTCTTTGGATATTTCAAAACCATCCTAATTTGGTGCTCCAAATGGATAGAGACTCTCCCCTGAGGGATGTCCCTTCCTCTTTGGATTCCAAAATGGATGTTATCCCATCTCAAATCACTTGAAATTACAACATAAATCAAATCAAATTTACATTTGAATTTAAAAGGAAAATCTAGACTCGATCCTGCAGGGTTATCCTAATAATCAACAGTTGTATATACAGTCCCAAGAAGTTAATATTTGATCTCAAGCAGTTGATATATTTAAATGCTCAATTAATCATAACACAGAGTGAAATAAGTAAATAAACAATCAATCAATTCTAAGCTAACAACCAACATGCAGTGAAAGCTCGAAAAACCCATCACACAGCAGAAAAGTAAACACCGGCCTATCCTAAAACTAGAGTTGGTGGTCCTAGCAAACCATATAAATTGTGTGAGGTAGGTCGTGTGGCTTTGATATGTCCTAAGTAGGATTATTAGATTTAAATTGCTTAGGGTTCGATTGGTTGACAGGATTAAAGGATTTAAATTTGAGTTTAAGTATTAAAGGCTTGAAGTTAATTTTAAAATTGATTCTTAATTATTTGTTGAATACCACCTTTGTTTCACACCGAGACCGTGAACTTTATTTCACCTTCCTTGGGGCTAAATTAATAACCTCGTAGGCCTGGGTTACCTAGTGGTACCCGGTATAATTAAATGGCTTAAGTTGATTAGTGTTTGAAAGTTAATGGATTTTATTCAAAAATGTTTGATTACTGGTTTTAAGAATTTGTTAAAGAATTCTGGAGTTTTAGAGTGATTTTTTAGTTTTAAGAATTTTTTTTGATTATTTTAATCACTCAATTAAAGGTTCAAAAATTGACTTTTTAATTAAAAGTGTTTTGTAAAAAATTTAATGTTTTATTAAAATACTAGACCTTACTACTATTAGTTAGACAGTAAGTACGTTGAAATTAGATTTTTCTACATTAAGTTATGAATGTTTGAAGTTTTGAACTGATTTGACCCATGTTTGACCAAAAGTTGACTTTTTG